TCTTGAAAAACTCAATGACAAGAGAGCTATTAACAATCAAACAGTAGGCACACGTTTTTTGGGACACTCTGTCGATATGTAACAAGGGAAGAAACAAGCGGCCACAGTATAAAACGTTTTTGGTTGATTATGGTTTTCTAGAAAAATTGGTGTTTTTGAAACCAGAAACCATTGCATAATGTTTTTTGTTTAAACATGCTATCTACCAGCGGTCGATATAAATGGCTGAAATTGTCTTCCAAGTCACAATTCGCTGACGTACTGGTGATTTCCAATATGAAATTCAGACGTTTGTGTATGAAACCATAGGGAACTTACATTTGTACACCTTCGAATTATTTATCAAAACAATGAGTACCCTATGAGTAAATTATTGCAACCTAAAAACGTCAACAAATGGTAATAAGTCATTTTGCATCCAGCACAAATAATAACGCGCCAAACAATTTTATCATCAAATTTATTCCTTGATATTGAAAGCGCATAGTTCATCAAAATGAAACCTTCGCTGATCGCTTATATCTCAACATTGTTACTTTTTCACACTCTTACAAGTTGAGCAAAGCAGCCGTTTGCCCTTATACACTGATTTATCAACTTGTGTTTGCCAAAGGAAACCGTTGGAGAAACTAACTATGTACCCACATTGTTTGTTTGCAGGTACTCAAAAACAAAAAGAAAGCGGAGAGGAAGCGTATTGTGGCGGAGAAGATGAAAACGATAAAGATTGGATGCGCACATTATGTAGACTGGAAACGCTGGCAATGGGCCGTGTGTTTGCTGCCAAAGCCTGCCATCTACTAGCCCTGCCGACCATTGTGGGGATTCTGATAACTCCTACTATGCTATCGCTTTTCTAAAAGTGAGAGAGAGAATGGCAGTAGAAACTTTTTTGGTTCCACTGTTTGGTGTTAACGATAAAAAAAAGTTGATTTAGTTTGTACGTGCGATGGATATAAGTAGATTTTATGCATAAATAAGTACGCATTTAACTCGGTTTATAGGTGCCTTCAACTTGCTCAATAAATACGATCATAATCTGAAGAGAGAGCTAAAAGAAAGCAACAGACCTTGCTCTTTAAAAACATATACAAAGAATCTTTGATCACTATTTCGAGAAACTCGTCGGAGGGATCAATCAAAGCAACGATGAATGAAATATTAGGTTGTCCCGAAAGTTTTGTCGGTTTTTTAAACCACTATAAAACCACGCACAACGAAGACCTGAATGAGTTTCAACATGCATTCGATGCAGCTTTTCCTTCTCTTTCGTACTTTAGGAGCCAAGATCCTGTATGGTTTTTTTGATAATTGCCACAAATCTTCACTTTTATCTGCTCAGAGTTAAGCTAATTTTTAAAAATTTTATTCCAAAGTTTTGGGAAGGACTAAGCATGGCACAAATAGAACAATTCTCGGCTATACGGTAATGTTTTTAGATTTCCCTAAGTTGCTGTTTCTAGCTTCGAAAAATTATTTCTTCGGAGGTCTCGATTTCTGGCAAAACCATAAAACACGCAACTGCGGCAAAAACATGAAAGCTCCTGGAATTTGCGAATTGAAACTTGATTGCTAATAAACATTATTTATGAAACACATCTACGTTTGATTTGTCTTGAAAAAGCAGCTTTTTGGAATTTTCGGTGATTTTGCGTGGTAGACGTAATCAAAAAGCGGTGATTTTATTTGAAATAAATAATTATTTAGGACTTGATAAGCGTCATGTAATCTAAAATAAGTATAATGTAGCCGAAGGTTGGCTCTACATAACAGTTATTAGAGCTTTTCGAAAGTAGCAGGAGAAAAGTTTTTAAAATACAGAAAAGATTTGGGGTTATTGCTGATCTGCTCAAAAAGCCATGGCGATAACATTGCGAAGATAGGGTAGATCAGAGAGCAAATATGGCTGTAAGAAAGAGGATAAAGATCTGTTTCAAATCATACCTAAACCTTCCATGAATTGGTGTTTTGTGGGTTTTAGTGAGCGATGGAAAAACCGACAAAACTTTTGGGACAACCTACAGTTGCAGCGGTAGAATTTGTCCAAAACTGCGGGATTGTCGGGATTCGCGGGATTGTCGGGATTTGCGGGATAAGCGGGATTCGCGACTTCACGGGATTTGCGGGATCCAGTACTCTGCGTTGATACCACTGCTTTAGCTATAACTTCTTTTAAAACAATTTTATATGAAATCTGCAAGAAGATGCGGCTTCAGCTTGATGAGACGAATCTTTTCATATACAGTATGTCCGTAATCGTGGTGACGGGGTGACATACAATGATACCTTGTTGTTTTCTATGTTAAGGCTTTTGTGAACATTTATCACAGCGTTAATCGCGATTAGCAGGTTCTGGTACAAAGTTTTCATTATCGAAAACTATCGCGAAAAGTTGGGCAGTTTTTATTCACCCTTATTACTCACTATAAGCATTTTATCATTTATCACTGATAATATCACATTTTTGGATCATTTTTGGCGTATGGTAAGAAAAGTACTGTAGGAAACGCTTAGTGAATTTCTATCGCTCTTTCTCTAATTATAAGTGATCTACAGGCTTTTCTAGTTCTATTGCTCGGTGCAGTTGGTAGATCCCTCGCTCCAGCAATCGATCGATTTCTCATCGGCACATGCCACTGCTGCCAATTCTTACCTAAAATGGCGTTTTTGCTTCAACTCGCTTCACGCCGAAGCCTGGGCTAAAATTCTGCACCTACATGGAAGATGAACGTGGGAATCGACCGCATGAATTTAAGCCATGCTTATCTGTCGTTGTCACTGATATCATCATTTTATCATTTATCACTGATGATATCACAAAATTGATCTTTTCTGACATACGGTAAAAAATGTAGTTTAGAAAACGCTGTGCGAGTTTTTATCGCTTCATCTCTTACAGTATTTGATCTACAGGCTTTTTCAATTCAATTGCGCATTCGGTGCGGTAGACAGATCCCTCACTGCAGCAATCGATTGATCGCTATGAGCATGACACCGTCTCTTTGGAAACGTTGCTCTTTCTTCAGAAAACTCCACCGCTCAATAAATTGTGAATGAACCGAGTCGCCTGTCAACAAGAGTTTCAACAATGAGCTGAACAATTCTGTTTTCTGCGTATGGGCATACAGACCCAGATCCACGAAGGCGATCGGTCTAAGGTGCGAAACGGCACAAACGGCGTGCTCGAGCATCTTTTCACCAGAGTCCACACGCCCGTGAACGATGCGTGTACATGGGCGGTTGCCTCCGTACCGAAGTTTTTATGAACTCTCCTATGCTCTACTCTATTTTTTGCTATCTACAATAGCTCACAAAATGTGCAGATTTTCTTTGTGTCGTGATTCCGGAGGTTTTGCGAAAGTCCGCAGCGTTCTGGGAGTTTTGAACATTCCGGGATTTCTGCGGAATCACGCGAATCGCGCAAACTACAGTACCCACACTAATTTTTCGACAGAAAAGCAAAAACTGGCGATCCGCGTTTTTTTCGTCCTTTGTTCATAACTTTCTTCAGATTGCATAAACTAGGAATCCGACGAAAGTATGATGTTCAGCTCGTCAAAATGAACCTTCTGATATACTACGCTTCCTTACCGGTCCGTTTTCAATTTGCTCGATTTTTGTGTGAGGACGGGTGTTCGTAGCGGTGTAACTCAACGAAGAACACACAAGGAAGATTCTAGTAAACATGACCAGTAGAGCTGTTTCCGTAGATTATTATGCGCTAGCGAGCAGCGGAGGATCCCTTTTGCGCAGAGAAAGATAGGTCGATGAATTTTGGAAAAATCTATGTCTTTCAAATTTTGGCTACCGTAACCATACAGTAAGGCGCTAATTTGCAAAGCAGGTGTGTTTTTCGTGATCAGCAGGTCAAATAACCTCTATGCGCAAGTTTCCGACGAATTCAGGCCCTTTGATTTTTTCTCGTTCTTAGGCTCTGAAGCTCGCCGACGGGTTTTGGCCAAAATATTGATCATCATGGATTGGCCGGAAACTTCGCCCATAGGGGTTTTCGAACTCGCTGACTACGAAAACAGTGCTTTTTGTGCAGTGTAAGTTCTTTTAGCAGAGTTATACCGAGTGAGCTGTCTCGAAACCAGGCCAGATCCAACATTTGCCTGCTCTTTTCGCATAATTGTTGGACAACTCACCCACTTGTTTTTACAGCTAAACATTAACAGAAGCCGTGCTATTGACCCATGGTTATTGTAGGTCTTCATCTATAAGAACTGCCCAGTTACGAGCTCACGAAATCACGTTTTTTGAATTATGCACAAAATTTGAAGATCGCCCACTTTGTCCAAATATGGTCCTGGTTGGGTGTATAACACGCTATTTGCAAATGATGTTTACTCTGTTCAAGAACTTCTACTGTAAAAGGCAGATAATCGACGTATACAATATTTGAATTTCAGAAAATATTTATGAGAACGTGATTTCGTGAGCAGTACTCTGCGTTGATACCACTGCTT